TGTAAGAATTAGCCTTCTATCACCAGGCAAGATTGATATATCGACCGACAACTGGATTGACAGGACTTTCCTGATGATGATGATGATGATGATGATGAAGATGAAAAAAGGTGGCTGAACAAAACGGCCGGTTTGCAGATTTTTGATTTTTCTCCCAGAAAAGGTCTAGAGCCACGCTAGTGGTACCAATGGAGTCCTCTGGTCAAGATAAGGTCCTCTAAGAAGTCTGGTAAGCATAAGAGCTCGTTTTCCCGGTATAGCAAGGCTGCAAAAGTCGTGGCAGCCATTTTGTTTGGGGGTGAATCCTACTTAGTAACGCTACTGCGTTACTAATAGTACAGGGACTTTGACCCAATTTCGGGGCAACTTTCAAAATTTGCAAAAAATTTAATTTTGCTTGAAATCCACTCAAACTTTCTACGCAACATAAGAACATGTATATGCATTAGAAAAAAATTATAAAAATGAAGAATTCTCTCCTTTTTTATTTTTGGCGAAATTTGGCCAAAATCACTGTACTATAGTACAGGAACTTTGACCCGATTTCAGAGCAACTTTCAAAATTCGTAAAAAATCTAATTTTGATCGAAATCCACTCAAACTTTCTACGCAACATAAGAACATGTATGTGTATTAGGAAACATTATTAAATCAAAAATTTTTTTTTATTTTTGGCAAAATTTTGCCAAAATCACTGTACTATAGTACAGGGACTTTGACCCGATTTTGGAGCAACTTTCAAAATTTGTAATTTTGATCGAAATCCACTCAAACTTTTTACGCAACATAAGAACATGTATGTGCATTAGAAAACATTATTAAATCGAAATTTTTTTTTTTGGCAAAAATTTGCCAAAATCACTGTACTATAGTACAGGGACTTTGACCCAATTTCGGAGCAACTTTCAAAATTTGTAAAAAATCTAATTTTGATCGAAATCCACTCAAACTTTCTACGCAACATAAAAACATGTATATACATTTTTAAAAATTATTAAAATCAAAAATTTTCTTCTTTTTATTTTTGGCAAAATTTTGCCAAAATCACTGTGCTATAGTATAGGGACTTTGACCCAATTTTGGAGCAACTTTCAAAATTCGTAAAAAATCTAATTTTGATCGAAATTCACTCAAACTTTCTACGCAACATGATAACATGTATATGCATCAGAAAAATTATGGGAAATGGAGAATTCTCTTCTTTTCTTTTATAGAAAAATATTGTTTAGCAACTTTTAAAATTCATAAAAAATCTAATTTTGACTGGAATCAACTTTAAAAAATATATTATAGAAATGTACAACGTACTGTATTTCCTTAAACAAAAGCCCGAGCATCTATTACCTAAAATGGTATTTGGACCTCGGACAAAGTATAAAATACTTTGACCCAGACTGAGACTGGAACCAGTGACCTCATGCACTTGACTTCAGGAACCTAAGGTAGTATCTACAAGTCAAGACTACTGAGAAGCTTACAGGCTAGATTTGCTTATTTATAGTTTGCTACCCTGGCGTTTATTCGCATCCAGCTTCTATTTAAGGATATACAGTACATGTACAAGTACTACATACATGTACATGTACTTACCATGTGTAGTTCTCTGAATCCTTCCAACATTTTGCAGTTTTTTTTTTGAGTCTGTGAGCCTCATCAATGATCACTGCTCTCCATAGGATGTTCTTCAACTCACTGTTATCAGCTAAAACAGATTACAAGAATACACATTACATGTACATGTACATGTACAGTATATGCTAATATTGGATACAGCTAGTACATGCACAGTCAACTTAAAAATTTTGAAGTAAATTTTTTAGAGGAGAAAATTAGAGTTTCTAAATTTTTTTCTTAAATTTTATTTTTAAATTTAAATTTTTATTTTTAAATTTATTTTTAATTCTTAATTTTAAAACATGTACATGTATAATATTATTATACAAGTAAAATTAGTATAAGTAAAGGTGTGGTTGTTAATTAAATGTGGGTGTGGCTTACAAAGCAAAACTTCATAAGTAGTGACGATGACGTTAAACTTGCATGCATCAATAATGATCTTTCCTGATTGATCACGAAAATACAGTTTATACTCTTGAATCATCCTACGACTGTAAGGACTAGAAGAGGAAAGAATCATAAAAAGAAATGAAGAAAAACAAAAATAATTAAAGAGAATACAATATGAAAATGGAGAAAGAAAATGACGTATTTGTATTTGTATTTTTTCCAACGTATTTGTTGGAAAAAAGTAAGGAAACAAGGGGGTACTTGCAAACTGGTATGGTAAGAAA